GAGAGAGAGAGAGAGAGAGAGAGGGAGGGAGAGAGAGAGAGAGGGAGGGAGAGAGAGAGAGAGACTTATAAGGAAAACAAAAAAAACTAGAACAAAAATTAGATGCAGTAATAAGACTGCATGAAGCAATGCATAGATCATGGTTTAATGGTTAAGTCATTAACCATGGTTAATGGTTAAGTTGAATGGGAAGAGCTGAGACTCTGGTGTAGAACATATTCTTTCCATCTGGATAGATAACTAAGATTTAAAAATTTATGATTTTATATAATAATATCCACTTTCATGTTTCTTAAGACTCATTTCTTTTACTTTTCCTAGTGTAGGAGCATCTAGAAAGAAATTTCACAGTTCCCAGATTTCTCTAAGTTAGAAGTTGAAGACCGTAATAGAAAAAAAGGGAAGGTTCAGACCCATAATTGTCTTATTGCATGATTTCATTTCTTCCTTCTATGTTTCAGAAGCGATTAAATTCTACAAAACATAATATATAACTTAGATCAGACAGCAGATCTAGTTCTGCACTGAAGCACCATTAGTTCAATCATTAAGTATTTCTCTACCTGTGACAAGGGTCTGCGGAGGTAAAAATGCTGCAGATAAAATGTCATCCTTATGCTGAGCTCCTCCTTTCCATTCCGAAGGCTGAACCAGATACTGAGTCAAATTATTTAGGCGGAAAACTGTGATCACCCTAAAGATACAAAGAAGCACAAATAAAACCAATGAATTGACCTTCTTGTTCCCCAACTTTTTACCCCTTGGCTAAGGTGTAATAAATATAGAATAAATATACATCACACATCTATCTGACAGTATGCAGAGGAGACAAAAATGGTGATAGAAGGGAAGATTTTCCATGGGCAAGCATCAGTCCTAGGAACCAAGTTTGAATGGTGAATTTGCTTATGCCAATTGCCAGCTCCCTTCTAACCTAACTTCTTTTGATACTGTGGGTTATTATAAGGAAAGATGCTGAGGATTCAACAGTCCCCTTTAATAATCTCTGTCTCTCTCTGTCTCTGTCTGTCTCTCTGTCTCTGTCTCTGCCTCTCTCTCTCTCTGTCAGAATAGGAACAGGAAAATAACATTCTGAGATGTACCTTCTCTGCTAATTTGGTGACTATGCTACTGAAGAATATAAAGACTTCTTTGGGTTGTGTCTTTTCATCCTTCTTGGGTCTCTCTCTCTCTCTTTCTCTCTCTCTCTCTTTCTCTCTTTCTCTCTTTCTCTCTCTCTTTCTCTCTGTGCATGTGTGTATGGAAATGGATATATGGTAATATTTGATATATCAGGATGCAAATCCACAACCCAAGGAAGACTTTATATTCTTCAGCAACACAGGCACCAAGTTAGCAGACAAGGTACACCTCAGAATATTATTTTCCTATTCAGATGTTACATCTTTCCTATTCTGCACTACAGAGTAGAGAGTTAGTCTCTGACAGAAAGCCACTTGAAGAGAAGAAGCTAAAATAAAACAAAGGCTGT